ATATCTTTGTAAGGTCTTCCGGTCCATCACAAAAATACTTTCCGGCCGAAATTCATCCAAAGCTGAAACACAAACGAATGGGAACTGTATCAATGGCGGTGGCCAGCGACGGCACGGAAGGTGGTGGCGTCAGTGGATCTCAGTTCTTTATCACGACCGGTGAAAGTTTGGATTATTTGGACGGAAAATACACCGTGTTTGGTGAGGTGGCTGAGGGATTCGACACTCTAGATAAAATAAACAATGCCTATTGCGATGAGACCGGAAGACCTTACAAAGATATTAGAATCAAGCACACCATCATACTTGACGATCCATTTCCCGATCCTGAAGGTTTGGAGGTGCCGAGTGAAAGTCCGCGACCCACCGCGGAGATGTTGGCAACTGTGCGGATCGGTGAAGATGAGAACATTGAACCCGAGCTACCACCTGAAGCGATGGAGAAAGTTCAACGCCAAATGGAGGCACAAGCACAGGCTTTGACATTGGAGATGATTGGTGACATTCCCTTTGCCGAGGTGAAGCCTCCGGAAAATGTCTTGTTTGTATGTAAACTTAATCCCATTACCAAGGATGAAGATCTGGAATTGATATTTTCAAGATTTGGATCCATCAGCAGTTGCGAAGTTATTCGAGATAAGATGACCGGTGATTCTTTGTGTTATGCCTTCATCGAGTTCGACAACAAAGAGGACTGTGAGACTGCTTATTTCAAAATGAACAACGTCCTCATAGATGATCGACGCATCAAGGTTGATTTTTCCCAATCGGTTTCGAAGCTTCACAAGGATTGGATTGATTCCAAGATCAGAAAGCAAGGCGGGAAAGGTTATGGTGGATCCGAAAATTTGGAGAAACGGACGAAATATCGCGGTGGGGATGATATCCCGGTTGACAAATATGACCTTGTTTTTGATCACACGGGTGATTATGAAAATGAAAAGAAAAAACACAGCCGAGAGCATAAAAGCTTTGATCGTGAAAGGGAAAAGGAGGATGATGATGGGAGAAACGGTAAAAAGGATAGCAAAGGACGTAGGCGCGACGGTGATTATTCCGAGAGAGGTCACGCGCGAAAAAGGTCTAGATCTTTGAGCCCAAGACGAGATAGGGATTACGATCGATATGGCTCAAGGTATGACAAGTATGATGGGCGCGATAGAAATCGTGGTAGGGAACACAAACGACACAGGTCCAGATCAAGGTCTCATTCAAGAGATCGAAGAAGAAACATTCGAAAACATTAACAATGCATGGAATCGAAGACACTCGATTGAAACAAACTAGGGTTGAAATTTAAAAATAACATTAGTTTCTTAGAGCCGAAATCCAAGAAAATCATGGGAAAAGGAAGAAACGCGATAACTTAAAAATCACAAAATAATTTGATTGCATGTTTTTGAGTAATAGTTGTACGAGTAACGGAAATCAATAGTCGAGAACAATTCGAGATAAAAAAATTTGAATTAAAACGTTTGAGATATGAGTTGCCACTTTTGAAAATTTTAAATAATAGTATCTCGTTTGACTCGTGTATTACAAAACCTATCATGTAAATAAGATGGTTGTATTGATATAACTATTATTAGAATGTGTGTTAATAAGATCATAAACGCTAATATCTATCTACTCTATCTTTTGTTATATAAAAAAATGGATAAGAACCAGGAGTTTTTCGATAATTTGTTATTTGAGTGCTAGATAATAATATTTTTTTATAGTTAAATATACAGTATGAAAATAATGACACTCTTTATTTTTGCCATTATTAAATAGTTTTAGCTAATAAAATAATTTTAATTAAAAATTTTTATTTATTAATGTAGCCATCGCATCGTTTCTTTTATGTCCAAGCTCTATAAAACAAGAAGCAATTTTAATATATCATATTTTTATATTGGCTTTGCTTTTAATACAAAAAGATTTTAAAAAGATATGAAATAATAATTGAAATTGATTTTTTAAAAAATTATTTATTAAATAGTAATAAAAATTTCAATTGAAAAAAGACTTGGTGCTGTTCTTTTTTGTTTTACACTGTACATGATATATTGTAAGTTCTAAGAATCTTTTCTATTAAAGATAAATAAGTATAATCTTGACAAGTTAAATTTTTTCTTTTACTTAAATGCATGTATATGTTATTTGTTAATTAGCACATCAATATAATAAAAAAATATATTATCAAACATCTAATAAACCAGCTATTTAAAAAAACATTATAAAATAAAATTACTGTACTTTAATATACTATCCATTTATTAATGGTTTTATCTAATTAATATTAAAAACAAATAAAAAAAATTAATATTTTTTTTTTTAATAGATAAATATTATTTCTGTATTTAATTTGCATAACATAATATAACATATACATTATAAAAAAACCAACATTACTTATATTATTTAATGAGCTTAATATTAACTTGTCTATATAAAACATATCTAACTTACAATTCTGGTCATGAATATCTGTACCTTTTTTAAAAATTCAAATCTAATTCAATTGTTTTAAAAATATTAGAACAAATAGTTTATTGCAATTTCTAAATTTATAAAAAATTATATATTAAATCTAGGTCTTTTTATATTATTAACAAAAATTTTGACATATTTTGATGACAGTTGTCAAAAATTTGATTTCTAAATTTTAAATTTGCCTAATTCAAAAAATACCTTTCTGAAGTATGGTTTTTATCAATTTACTATATAATTTATTATAAAAAATATTATAAATTAATAAATTATATAGTAAAATTAATAAAAACTATATTTCAAAAAGTTATTTTTTGAATTAGGCAAATTTAAAATTTAGATATCAATTTTTTGACAATTGCTTTATCAAAATATGTCAAATTTTTTGTCAATAATATTGTAATCAAAATCCGTTTGATCTATATCTGAGTGGTAGTTTTTAGAAGAAATTAGAGATTATATAGAACAGTCCATTGTTCCAGAAATAATTTCTCACAAATATTCCAAGGTACAGCAAAGATTCTCCAATGAATCTTTGTAATTAAAATGTGTTTAATAAAATAATAATACTTTATTATAACATCGAGTCAGAAATTTCAACAGTTACAGAAGTGAGTTATTAAAAACTGACTAAAAATTACATGGACGGCAGCTACTTATATACTGTTTTCTATCCTAAGCTATTTGGACTGCCTGGGCTGTCTGGGCTGCCTGATCTATGTGTTGCGATGTCATAGTTTTATAAATCATAGGCCTTGTAGGTCTTTTGAGCCTTCTGGGCTGTTTGGACCTTTTAGATTGTCTAATCTACATCACACATGCTATAAATAGATATTTATACTATAATAAAATAATAAATCCTATTGCTAAAAATAAACCAATAATAATTTGATAAAAATAAGTAAAAATAAAATTAAGTTATCTATTCTATCACAATATAAAAGGATCTAGATTTTAATATACAGTATAATTTTTTAAAAAATTTTGATTATGTAAATGATTGATATACTATATAGAAAAATTTTTAATAATTTTTAAGTTAAAAAAATCCAATAAAAAAATAATCTTTAAAATTTGCTTCTTATCTATAATTTGTTATAGCAATCACAAAACTCTAAAAAAATTAAAAGATTAGGAATTGCAATAAACTATTTGTCCTAACATTTTTAAAACAATTGAATTAAATTTAAATTTTTAAAAGGGATACAAATACTTATAATCAAGATTGTATATATTTTTTTATACTTTATATTCTTTTTTTTTTATCAAAGTTAGATTTTTTTTTCTTTTGAAGATTTTTTTTTTTGGAACTTTCTTTCTTTTAAAAATACTATTTTCTATAATATTATTTCTTTGGTTAGTTACTTTTTTTTTTTAAGAACTATCTCAAAAAATAATAAATTTTTTTTAAAATATAAGCTTTAAAAATATTTTTTTTCTATGACTTTTTAAAAAAAAACAGATAGTTTATCCTTTTTAAAAAATTGACATGATTATTATTTTCAAACCTGGCATTATTTACTAATTAATAATTAGACTATATATATTTAAAAAATATTTATTCAATTATTATTATCTAAAAATATTTAAGAAGTTATATTTTATAATTTTAAAAATAAAATAACAACCAATATCAATATAACTAATAATATATTGGATATAGTTCCGAAAATTGGAATTGAATAGAATCAAACAGAATCGCATGAGGTTCGGAATACTATTAAAAATGATGGTGGGGTATACCCCACCTATTAAATTTAATATAAAC